GTATATTAAACTGTTTCTAATTTACACTCCATTATTTATTCTCACAACACTCAGGTAGTCCAATAACAGTTGGAAGCGCTCCAAGGAAATATTGATTAACCGTCTAAGATACACGGCAGAAAGCGAGAACGTTGGTTGGTGCGAACTGACGTCTGCACGGAGACCTACTGGCGTGAGGTGTGTCTGAAACACTAAATACTTACCAACAACTACACTGACACTGTAATAACAACCTACTAGATTATGTTCCAGAATTACTTTGGCGCGTATTATATAAAAAAAAGATAATATTTAACAACACTGCAATGAGAAGGAAAACTTAAAACAAACCCTATACCAACCCGTCTGGCCGGCGTGGTATAGTAGGCCAAAATCTCCTTTCTAAAAAAGGCCTATGGGCTATGTCCAGCAGTGGACTAATAAAGGCTGTTTATGTGATGTGATGTGAAGTAGTATGTCAGACAATAAAGGATTTTGCACCTACCTGACGCCAATATTCCTGGGAAATGTAACGAAGGAAGATAGATTTAAATCCTATGGTTATTGTTGGATAAGATGCGAGACTGAACAGCAGTAGCAGCAGTAGCCTGGCTAGAAGCTTGTTTATGATTCTGTTTAATCTATTAAAATTTTAATTTTAAAAATAATAATAATAATATAATAATAATAATAATAATATTCTACCACAAAACATAACTATTCTAAATGAAAGCGTTGGATTAGATTTACTTCAGATATTATTGAAGCTAGTCTGTGTTTCCCATTCTCTCGCTAAAGCTGGAGGCTTACCGTCACCATTCCTACGAATGCTACACTGATCCGTCACGATGTAATCAATGGATCGGTGACGTAGCTGTATAATATGTATGTGTACACATAATAATGTTAAATACCAGTTAAGGTTGTAGCAATTAAAATTAAAACGTATCCGAGTTTGCGTTTAATAACCGAGAGGCTGAGAGGAGCTAAGCTGTGTGCTGCTCATAAATGATGAATGGTCGAGATTGTTTGTACAGATAGGAAGAGGCACTAAGCGGTCGGTGCCGCGTCCCTTCACAACCGGCTATATCGACTATCGAGCTGTTTACTTTCAATTTCGTTGGAAACTTTTTGCCATTTTGTTTGTGGGAGGCTACTCGCCATTCCCTCCTCGCCGTGACGGGTGCCTCCCTTCGCGTGCGTCTAAACATATACTAAACAAGCTCCTCTCTATCAACGCAGTTCTCTGTTAGTCGCTACAACAACGATTACTTGCTTAAACCAATATTATTTTAGTTAGCCACACGCGTTGTACGATTGCTTTGTGAATCGATAAAGAATCTGTACATTACTTACAAGAAAATAATGTTTAGTTTAACACCACACATGCTGTAACGCGCAATGTGGAGCGCATCCCTCGGATGTAAGAGAACACCGACGATGGATCGTTTTTGCGAATGATGTGAAATACTATTAAACAAATACATCCGGATGAACCATATATGTTATTATGATCTTTGCTGGACATAGGTCTGTCTTTAGAAAGGACGTTTAATACGCAAGTACAATGTCCTATGTACTAACTTGGTCGTGGGAGAGCTTTACAAAATACCAGTACCACGGCCTTACAAAATACCGGTACGAAGCTAATTTGTCATTGCTTTTTAATGACTGATTCCCGGCGGCCCAACGCCCTGCGCCTAATTATTAACTCTCGAGGGTTGTAACACACTTGTGTCTCTTCAGTAGGAGGGGTCCACGGGCAGCGGTAATCGCTTACCATCAGTGAACCTCCCTGCTCGTATGCATCCCTATATCATAACAAAATGTCGTCGGTTGAACGTCGAAACGTCAGGCAGTTCAACGGTATGTTATAATTATATACCTGAATGGCGTTAGTGCCCAAATATATACAACTGTGTAGAATGTCATTGAGATATGCGTTGTATACAATACAAAGCCATTATGTTCTTTAGTATATTACACTGATATAAGAACGCTTTAATATCCAGCTTAAAATGTACATTTGATGTGATCACGTTTACAAATTGAATTCATCATAAATAACACATTTTGTCGTCGCCGGTTAAAAGGGTGAAGTTATCGAATCGGACAATTTACAACGAAATGAGTGCGGGTCCAAGCAAAGGGTCGATATTAGAAAAGGCCCGCGGCGCGGCGCGGGCTGCGACGCGAGAAATTAGAGGTCCCACATGTCGTCGGCCATAGCACGCGCATTAGCCTTTACGCGCCACTACTCGCCCCGACTGATGGCCCTCTTCACCTTGCTGGACAACGCAACATATTTTACTGAGAATATTTAAAATTCCACATCACCGAACACGTAAATTGACTGACTCTATCTCAGACCTTGGCTAGAGATTCTGAATATTCAATAATAAATATTTAACTTTCTTTCTTTCTTGCCCGGACTGTTTTATTATATAACTAGTTTCTTTTATACTTGTTAAAAGAAAGAAAAGAAGGTTAAGAAAGAAAACTTTAAACTCAATAAGTAACTTACCTAATGCTACAATTAGCTACGACTAAGTGAACCTAAATATGGAAAATCAAAGAATTTTTAAGTTTAATCAACTGAGATAAATACGTGTAACTTTCAGTATGGCCGAAGTAGGTATGTTATGATTATCATATTATGTAAGCTCATAGGTATATGTCACTACACACTGACTCATCGCTTTACGTTTGCGACTGAACTATAATTATACGGATTGCTTGTTAGAATAGAATACATTTTATTTAGCAAATATGGGTAATACATGAAAGGTATTACAGTACATTAAAGCTCAGCCATGTTTTGCCAGTGGCGTGCAATCATTTTTTGTATTAGGCTAAGTAAACATGCTTTTTATATTCAAAGCCACCATAATATTAATATTAAATCTTAACATAAGGTAATAAAAATCAATAATGACACAATAGTTAACATACAATACAAACTGCACAATAGACATTGAGATAATACATCCATAATCTAAAATTCTGTTACATTGAAGTAAGTTTTATCTACTAGTTTACGTAGTCTACTCCTAAAGATAACTGTGCCCAACTCTTTCCACCCGCCCGGCAATTTATTATATATAAGTGGTGCCATACAATAAACACTTTTGCGCATTAACGTCGTTTGACAACTTTGGTGACGTAATATACTGTTACGATACTTAACAACGCGACGCTGCTATTGTGTTGGACTTGTTCCCCACGTGCCTACACATTTAAATGCTGGTGACAACGTAAGTATACAACGGATGACACTGATGAAAAGAAAAATGAAAATAATTTTATCACACCAGAGACTCATCTACAACATCACTGCGACTAATTATTATTACCCTAGCGCCAGGACACGCGAAAGGACTAAATCCAAAAAAAAGGTCGGTTTAATTGATTTTGATGGCATTGATCTTCGTCTATGACCAAACCTAGGTCGTAATTTATGACAGGTGAAATCACAGTGACCAAATGAAGTACATTTAGAACACATGTGTAGATGAAACCAGAAGGACAATTCAAGTAATAAAAAGTATTCAATATTCACTTTTGTAAAGTCGTAAAGTATTACTAAGGCTATAATATACTAGCAGAATAACGATTGAAGTTTCTGTCACAATATGATATAATCACATTACAGTAAACAATGGATGTTTAATACTTTACTACTGGTATACATTTTTATGACATTTGTGAGATCTAGAGTATATCAGAACTAATTTGGAACGATTTTTATTACGAGTATTGACCTTCAGGTGTCAGGGTCAAACGTTTGGATTAGTCAAATTTTGTATCATAAATACAAAAATCCACTTTAGCGAGTGTGCGAGTGGAGCCGGCGCGGCGCAGTGCGCACACACAAACGTGCTGACTAGAGGCTCTTGATTAATCTCACCGGTAAATCCGAGCGTTTAATTAAAATGGGATTATCTTGAGGTTGCAGATACGTCGTGGCCTACTTCTGCACAGATCGATGAGAAGTTGCCCCCAGCGCCGTCCTCCACTACACCAGTTTAAGCATTGGCTACTTGACAATTTCGCCCTACTCCACGCTACGGTACTCTACTTACCGATATTCGCTTTGTCAGTAATATAAATGTTACAATGAACGGTTTAATTTTAAATTTACATAAAAATATTTTTGAATAATACAATGATAACGGGTAATTTTCCTGTACTTATAGCATGAACTTATTAAGCCTCCTCGTCATCAATTGTTGAGACGATAAAGCAAAACAAAAAAAACTCACTCGCATTTATATTAAGATGATTAATTTAAGTATTTACTATTATTGCCGTGTGATCTATTTCTGGCGTCGATGGGCGCCCATCGAGTGCGGTACGAGTGCGTCAAGTGCGCAGAGAGGTCCCCGAATATTTTCCTCGTCCTTATATTTTCCCGGCGAGGCTAATGTTTTCCCTCGGCTAATAATTCGCGGAGGCTAAGGCCGCTCGGCCGCCACTTAGTGCGCCGCTGCCTGCTCCCCGGGGACCCGCCCTTTACCCTCCAAATTGAGTTTCGCTGAGTGATTTAGAACAAAAACTAGTTATAGACGAGTGCCGCCGCTCGTATGGTTAAATAGCGACCTAATGATTGTACTAAATGTCGCTTCGAGGGCCTTTTGTTAAGAACTCAACAATTACCTTCTTGCTAGAATTTACCTGCTTCAAATGTTTTGTTAAAGTGATATATTTATTTTACGATTTATTTCTAGAATAATAGGAATAACACAAAAGACATCAATTTTTCTTAGAGCACTAGATTGTTATTACGTTATGAGAGATTAAAATATGAATGTGTATATACGGGTATGTGCTTTGTCATTAAAAAGAGAAAACGAGCACTAGAATTGAACCGTCAAGTTCAACCATAGACAATGAAATCTCATAAATGGTTTTAGGTAGTTTTTAATTGCTCAACTATTTTCAGACCTAGTTACTTTGTCAAAAAACTTGTGTGCGCGCTACAACACTGATGCATATTAAGCACAGAATGCTCTACGCTTCCATTAGAGGCGATGCAGTTTACTGTAGTCATTACCTGTTCTCTTTTCTGGGTCCCTGAACAGCACATCGTCGAGTCGCGCGGGCGCGGACCGACCCTTGCTGTTGAAGGCGACCGCGGATAGACGGAAGCGCACGTCCCATTCCAGCCCGCGGACCGTCCACACCGGCTCTTCCGATGTTAAGTTTATTCTGCACACACCACAAAATATACATATTATTCTATCTATACGTAACATAACTGATCTTAAAATATGGTGCAATAAAATCGAAGAAACATATTTTGATATAAAGCGCAATTCAGTCGTTTGAACAGCTTTAGTTTATGAACCACAGTTAACTGAATCTGTTTCATATCATTAAATAACCTATTCCTAACATAAGAAGGAAACTAGGACAAATTCTAGTGGCCCTTTTAATCCAAGACGGATGTACAGGTACTGGACGACGACAGCCCCATTTGGCCATCTGATTCTTGCAGCATCCCTCCCTCGCCTTATCCGTTTTCTTTATTCCAATTGTTTGTTCTCTCTAAAAAGATTATATTCCCAGGGAAGGTTGACGTTAGGTAGGCCATACACGAAACCGGCCAAAATGTTTTTACAATGTTACACGTTGCGTCGTCCTCAAATTAAATTGGGGCAAACTCAAAAAGACGACGATGATAAGTTTTCGATCTTGATAAATGCGTGTGATCTTTGACGCATTGTTCGTTAGGCGCGCAGGAGCCCATTTAACAACTTAACTCAATTAATATAAGTAATTATCAACGGGTCAGCGCGTGTCAAACTTTTAATTTTAACATGTTTTTATTGGCGACAGCGCGTTTATATCTGTTTGGTGCTCATTAGGGCGAGGCGAGCGAGACGGGGGAAGGTAGGCGGAGGGGGGGAGGGGGTTATATCAGGGTGTATACGTCGGCTTTTCACTGATACTTTGATGAATCCGTAAACTTTATAATAACAAGCTAAATGGACGCCTTACCTATTTAATATAATTTAGTAAATGCTAAGTAAAGTGTGACTGAAGTGAGATCTGTATTTATTACAACTAATTATATAAATTAATTTAATTAGTCTGTTTTGCATTCATCTTCTCAAGACCTTACTTAGAGTAAGGTAAGGTAACAAGAGCAATAGAATTTGGTAAATTAGTTAACATTATACGAGTATAACACACGACGCATTAAATGACTCTTTTTGAATCATAAATATTTGTTAAGAAAAATGTTAAATAAAACTGTTTAATAATTTTTTTTTTTTTTTTTTCTCTTTATTTATTTTTAGGGACTTTATACATTCGTACATGTCGGTCCCATCGTACCTCATACAGATTGTTACATTACAATCTAATTAAATTTAAACAAATCTTAGTGATACGAACTTACAAAGGCTAGAGGCGGCTTTTGAAGTCGGCGCAGACAATATGTGGTGGAACATACCAACATTAATACTATTTATATTTAACTCTTTCATCAGATATTCCCTTTCAGATTGAAATCTGACACACTCCGTCAATAAGTGTGTCACATCCTCTAAAGTACCACAAACCTCACAGTTTGGTGAATTCAGTTTTTTCATCAAGAATCCAAACCCATTGAGCGGAATATGTCCAGATCTCAACCTGTGGGCGATTACAGTAATTTTTCTATTGAGTCCGGTGTTGGAAAACCATGGTATATGAGGAGGCTCCGATACTATAGTCTTATACCATATTCCCTTTTCTCTCGAATTCTGATTATAATACTCTTTCCAAATCTCATGACACTTTTTTTTTATATTTAGGTAATAATTCTTCATAATTAATTTTGATATTTCTTTCTGTACCACTAATGATACCTAACTTAGCCAATCGATCAGCCTCCTCGTTACTCTTTAAGCCTATGTGAGCTGGCACCCATTGCAACTTCAGCTCGACCCCTCTATTATAAAACCTGATTATTTTAGACAGAATGTCATAAGCTATCGGTGCACCTCTGTATCCAGAGGCGCATCGAGCTATGTGTTGAAGAGCACTTTGACTATCTACGCATATTAGTATTTTCTTATTGTCACTCGATTCGATATAAGTAAGGGCTTCTGAAATTGCAAAGAGTTCCAATGTCATGATTGATACATAATTAGTAATTTTAAAATAAGTGATAGTAGTGGTTTTCGATTTCAAAGGATCATAAAAAGCCGCTCCTCCGCCATTAGCACTCTTAGACCCATCAGTGTAAATTATATAATAATCACGATAAGTTTCATGTATTTCGCTTAAAGTTATATTTTTAATTTGGTTCAGTTCATATTTATTTTTAGAATTTTCAATTGCGTCTAAATTAGATTTTATTATATTTTGAATATTAATATTGGTTACCCAAGTGTCTAGAGAAAAGGTTTCCAAGAGGGGGGATGATTTAATTGGCTCGCACTTAATCTCCTCAAGAATACTGACAAGTAATGGAAGCCTCTTATTAGCCCAATAACTGATGTGTCTAAAATCACTAAGTTCTGAGAGTAATTTAATTGTTATGTTATCTGATAATGACCGACATTTTAGACAATATTTGTATGCTAACCATCTTCTTCTTAAATGCAGTGGAAAAACACAGAGCTCACACTCCATCACGTGAATTGGAGTAGTTCTTATGAACCCCCCCATCACTCTTAAAGCTTGGTTTTGGACTTTTTGTAGCTTATAAATGTTTGATTTTGCACTGTTATCGTATAGAAAACAACCATAGTCTAACCTACTTCTGACTAATGCAATGTATAATCTACGTAACTGAATCTGATGTATGCCCCAAGAAGGATCTGCTAGAATTTTCAGTAAATTAATTAGCTTTTGAACTTTTTCCGTGACTTCGTTAATGTGTTTACCCCAAAGTAATCTCCTGTCAAACCAAACCCACAAATATTTATAATTATCCACTAATTCAAGCTCAATATCTTTTACTAATAATTGTGTTTGTTGTCTCTTAATTCCTCTACTAAAGATACAATATTTAGATTTGCTAATTGATAAGTCCAAACCCAACTCGTCCAATAAAATTATGAAACTATTTATGGCGTTTTGAATCTTATCCTGGGCTTCTGAAATATATTTATATGTTGTATATAATACAAAGTCATCGGCGTATTGGCATATAAACACATTAGTAATGTCTTGACAAAATTTAAAAGTTGCTATGTTAAAAAGTAGGGGTGACAGGGGATCACCTTGAGCTAAACCTTTTCCTAGATATCTTATCATGTCCGCCCCTCCTACATGGTTATTAGATATCTTTAGATGTCGCTCACTTAGGAAATTCCATAGATAATGACATAACTTTTTACCAACATTTAGACTGTCTAGAAGGCTTAATAATTTTTCAATTACTACATTATTATACGCACTTTTGATATCCATAAAGCAAGCAAGAGTGTGACAATTTTTTGAATATCCTATCTGAATTTGAGTTACTAAACGTGTCACACAATCAAGTGCAGATTGACCCTTTCTGAAGCCCGTTGCATATGGAGACAAAATTTGATTACTTTCAACATACCATTCAAGTCTTTTAGCAATCATAGCATGAAAAATTTTGCAAGTGCACGATATCAAGGATATAGGTCTTGGTTTGCTACCTAGATTATCACCTGACTTTGGAATTAGAATAACTCTAATATCGCGCCATTGGAATGGAACATCGCCTGAATTTAATATCATATTAAAAATTCTAATTAAATACAATTTTCCTACCATTGGTAACTGTAATATCATGGAGTAAGTAACCTTGTCTTCGCCCGGAGCGGTGTCTTTTTTCTTCAAACAGTGATTCATTTCTTGTAGTGTAAAATCAGTTTCTAATAATATATTTCTAGACTTAAATAATGGCATAGAAGGAACAACGTAATCAGGTGCCAGATCACATAACATTTCTTTTTGTACTTCTTCAGAAAAATTACATCTGGCTTTTTTATAGCCTTTCACCCAACTTAATCGACGCCACATGTTAGACGCTGACACCCTATCACTGATACTTTCGCAGAATTTCTTATAATCATTTGACTTAGCCGTTTGAATAGCTCGTTTAGCCTTAATAGCTTTTTCTTGATAAATTGATAAATTTAGGGGTGTTGGATTTCTTCTAAAATTACGTAAAGCCAGCCTACGTTCACCAACTAATTTCGAAAGATCTGGACTCCAGTACCCCTTTGGTCTAAAATTATTATTTGGATTATTACACGTTTTAATAAAAGGAATAATTTCATCAGCTGCCCTATTTATTTTATTGATAAAGTCGTCATACGACACCTGAACATTGTCAGGTACAGGACCAGAAAAGCAATCCACAAGATATTGTTTGTATTTATTCCAGTCAGCCAATTTATAATTTCGCATTTTATCAAAGTTGATTCGCTCCCTATACGTTACTTGAACTTTAACAAATAAGTGATCACTTCCTAAACTTTCGTTAAAAACCTGCCATTCAAAATTAACAGCTATGTCTGTGGATGCAAATGTAATGTCAGGTGAGGACCTTTGTAGGATATTATTAACTAATTTAATCCTAGTTGGCTGTCCATTGTTAAGTGATGTGTATCCAAATTCAATTGCCGATTCAAAAATCTGTTTACCCCTGTTATCAGTCTTGTACGACCAGTTCGTATGATGAGCATTAAAATCTCCAACAATCAAGCAATGTTTTGGGAACATAGAAAAAATATTATCCCAATCTGACTGTGTTGTATGAACTGAACTAGGACAATATATCAAAATTATATGTCTCACATAACTACAGTTATTTATCCTAATACACAGCAACTCGATCCCTGAATTATTCACATTAATATTTAGTTCCTGAACGTTTACTGAATTATGTGATATAATGGCTACGCCACCATAAGAGTCGCTTCTATCGCGTCTATAAATGTTATATGGATTAAAGTTAACACATACCCTCTCATCCAGCCAAGTTTCGCTAATTAATGCTATATGTACTTTCTCTTGTAATAATAAACATTTAACCTCCTCTAGCTTAGGTCGTAAACTCTGTGCGTTCCACTGCATTATATTTAGATTAATATCTTTATATAAACCAGCCATCTTTAAATATAGATACACTTTTATTTAAGACACCTTCTTCCTTCAGTAACTTCCAAACAATCTGAAAACATTCTTCTAATATAAAGCTACATATTATTTTAATTTTCACATCCAAACTATTT